CCCCCTCCCCCCTTCACTTCTCCCACCCGCCACGGTGTTACCAGCGTCGAGCACTCCGTTCCGCAGGCCTACCTTTTCTTTTTCTCACAGCGTCAGCGTTGTCCCGGCCAGTCCGAGCTCCCTTCGTCCTCTTCATCCGAGACATCCTACCCACTTTTCTTTCGTCCTTAGCCCCTAGCTTCTTCTCATTCTCTCGCATGTTTCATCCCCCGTGCCCCGTCTCTTCGCGAGCAACCAGAGTCGCTCCCAAGCGCCTCTCGCTCTTGCGCCTCCTTAGACCCGTCGGCATTTTATTACCAACCCCATTACCTCCGGGGCAACCCCGCGTCTGCCACTTGCTCAGCAACGCTCCCACGATTCCCCCAGGCCGGACGGTCTTGCTACACGATATTTTACTGCGTGTTTACGACGGGACACAATTATTACTAACGTTCGCTCGCACTATGTCGCCTTGCCAAGTACGTAAACATGTTTATTTAATTGCCTGCACGGACCTACCCGTGCTCACTCTTGACTCTCGTGTGCACGTGATGCAATCTACCTGGTCGGTGTTATTACACGACGGAAGTATCGGCCGTAATAGACTCAACTTCGTTTGTTCCCTTGAGTGAGCCACATAAAGCGCATCAAACATATCATTGCACTTCAGGAGAAAATAAAATTTGAAATAAAATCATAAAATGGAAGCTTATTCATAAAATGGAAGCAGGGGAAAATGTTTATAATTTTATTATAAAGTGATAATGTCGTTGCGCTTTTAATTTTCTTTTATTAAAAATTAAACATTTCCGGTAAAAATTCCAAGTACTAATTAGAGGATGAATCTCTAATAGTAATTACATTATAGTAAGCTATTTAATATGTTTATAGACGTTTGATTCTCTTTTCTGCAAAAAATATAATAGGCAGATACTTCTTTTATATATGCACGCACGTTTTTAATCTTGTATCATTCTAAAAATAATTAATCTCCCAATAATATTTTCCTTTTTTACATAAATATAATTAAACAATTAATTATAAACTAATGGAAATCGGATATTTGTTTAAAAAAGTAAGAAATATTAATAAAATAAAATAACAATTTTGAAAATAAAATAATGCAAATAAATAATGCAACAACATATTTGCACGTGTTGCTGGTTGCACTTTCGTTCAATAGGTCATTCTACCACTCTCATCATTTCTCTTTGCGACGTTCGTTTTCACTTGTTCATACTCATTGTGCTTCATCTTGCGGGAGATACAATGCAGATTTATACCTCTCGTGGATGCTTTCGGTCGAGTGCGCTAACACAGATGAAACGAAGTTGGTGTAGCGCAGTAATTCGCTTAACCCCTTAACTGACGACGTGGCGCCTGTAAAACACGGTGCGGGTCGCCGAATCACCAAGCACTCTCTCTGGCTTTGTTATTAATTCTCAACCTTGTGCATACAGAATTAATCTTTGACAAAGGAACTCTCTTGAACGTATCGACTGTTTCTCTTATCCATTTAAATACTTAATTGCGTACTACATAAATAATACATTTTTAAGATATATAATTATCAATAAAATAATAATGGTATTCGAGAGAAATTAATATTACTTCATTAATTATTACTTATTTGATTTTGGCCTACGTCAATTAAAAATACATTAATAAAATGTTTCATAAACACGAATCTCATATCAAAGTTGCAATTAAATTATTTAAAACGGACATCATTAATGAGTTTGATGAACACTTTAAGATCATTTTACGTAAATTATAGCAATTGAGTTTAAAGTAATTTGCGCGTTCATCTTGTTCGTGGACTCTTTAGACGCGCATCGAAGACCAATCTTCTGCCAGCGTAAGAAAAATCTGAATCCACGGCTTCTTTCAGAAGTGACGCTCGAGCTTTTAAAACTCCTCTTAACGTTCCGTGGGTGGGGGAGGTCGGGTCGACGGCGAGAAAGCTGCAGTTTTATCGGCACAAAAGCGAGGTGCAAATTTCAGCTAAACCTGCGTCCTGAGAAGCCCTTTGAGCTTCGAAGATCCTTGTCCGGGTATCACGATTAGATCCCAGCTATTTGTGGCCGTCGATAAAATATCGTAAACGCAATGGCGACGAGGATGAAAGTCGGCAAATGAGAATCACGCCGACGAACGATAGTTCAATTCGGGCTTTAAAATCGCGAGGAGAAGATAGCTTGTAGGAGCGCGCCGAGTGTATGTACGTAACGATAAAGTCCCGCGGTGCCGACGACGCGGTGCTCGCCCGAGGAATAATTCGGCGATTTGCGTGATCATGCAAAACCCGAATGCGCAGAAGAGAGCGCGGGGCTACGAATAATGTGTGGGCGCGCCGATATTGCAACCGATATGAGATCGTTGAATGTGGGCCAGGAATGGTAATTCGCGGGAGAAATACTAAGGGGAAGATTATTTTGTAGCTATCGTGCGCGGCGCGGCGATTAAGGGAATGTAGGTAGCTGCAGCCGGGAGCTCCGTCGGATAGTTTCGGTATACTTGTTCCCGATCGCTTAACAAACGGGTCGTACGGTAATCACGCAATAATTTCTCGGATGCTGTTTGTGTGTGTGTGCGCGCGCGCGCGTCGCCGACACAAACGATATTTATCCTTGGACTTTTTCCCCTTAATTGCCTCCATTTTACCGGTTGTGTCTTGTAGCGTACAATTTTATCTACGTCATTATGTAATCCTAATCTTGACTCTCGGTCCAATTTGTTTTGCGCACCAGTTACGCTTAAAAGTAACTCTCGTGATTATTATCGTCAAAATTGCTATTATTGTTATTAATAATCTTGTCAAGTTATTAAAATTGTTAGATTTACTTATAATATTAAGCGCTCGAGAGAATACCGTGTCGCAACGCGTAATAAGCGCTTTCCGACGTTATAATCTCTTCCTCTAATCCTTCGCCCGTCTTTCTTCTCATTGTTTCCACGTACTATCCCTCTGCGCCACGCGGAGAATCTTTTCTGCTCGCTTTTTATTCTTATACTCTTTTTCTGAACAAACTTCATAATTTCAAAAATTTTAGATAATAACAGGTATCGTGAGTAATATTTAAGAAAATATTTTAATATAAATTTTATATTTTATGCGCTGAAAATATAAATATTAAAGATATAACTTAAAAATTATTATAGATATAATTGTAAAATGCGTAATTTCATAAAACTTATAAATGCTTATTTAAATTTAATTTGCATATATATTATAATTATGATCCCTGCAATATTAACAGTACTGAAACACTAACAATAAGTTAATTTGCATGTATTTTATAACGTTATCCTTTTTTTGATTTTCATTTCAGATATTCTCAAGTGGAAATTACTGTTAATGACATGCTTCATTGACATCTATTAGGCTGATTGTATACACAATCACGCGCAAAATTATGTAATCTTCAAAAACAAATATTTTAAAACAATTTTTTATAACAAAAAATATATATCCCTTTTATGATAAGCAAACACAAAATTTAAGGCAAATTATATTCAAATGTTGATGCATTTACTTTAAGCAAGAATAACTGTAGACATTTATATTATCATGTTTGAAATTATCAACCAATGTGATAGCGTAAAGATTCTCCTGTGAAACACAGATTTGTCGCGTCAATCGAGATTCCTATGCACTTTGTGAATGCACACGCTTGATACTGGAAGACTTTTGACTAGTGCTCGAGGAAGAGAATAAAGGTCGACCGAACGTCTAAAGAAAAACGCAGCAAGCGTGAAATACTCCGCTGCAGAATTCGTTGAAAGGCGCAAATGGAAACCTCACTCTCGTACGGCGAAAGGTAACGACATTCTGCCGAGATATATCTCGACATTGTGCCAGGATACAATCTATAAAGTATATACGTTCGATAACAGCGATAAAAGTCGAGCAGTCCAAGAAGACGGTCTGGCAGGTTTCACTTCAGCCTCTAGTTGCTCAAGTACGCCAAAACGACAGGAACAGCGTAAGACATGCGATAATCTTAGGAAAGAATTTCTACGTCATGCATCGTATAAAAACAATTGTACAGATTACTAATCGTACGTACTAAAACAACGCTATGTGATCATAAATTTGACAACGAATCTGTATGATGATTTCATGAATGTATATGGGATTATTCGGCACATGAAATAAAGAACTTTTCCGCCGAGTGTCGTGCTGACGGCAAAAGTAAAAATTGTTTGAAAAATATTTACAAGGTAACTTCTGAAAATGATTCACTCGCGTAAAAAAACGAACAAGCGAGAACTACCGCCAAAAATATCAAAAATTATCAGCACGACACATTTCCGCCGAGAGTCGTGCTGGTGTCAAAAGTAAAAATCTGCGGTCATTTTTAATTTTTTTTGTTAATATTAAAAATGCGAAACATTTTTTTTAATGTTTATCAAGAACGGTTAAATTGTATCTACATCAAATAATTTTATAGTTTTTTTATTATAATATTATGTAATAGTAGTACAATTAAAATTAAGATGCTGCGTCCCGAAAATTAATTTTATTGACTTTAATATTTCCACATCAATTTTTTTATTAAAAAAACGTAAATATTTTTGTTTTATATTACACCAAACAATGAAATTTCTATCATGGAATATAATCAATTTACCTAAATGAATAACGCGGCATTTGAGAATAAATCCGAAACTACGCGTCCCACAAAGTATTACTTAAAATTTTGTTCGTAAATTATGCGACGCTCATGTCCACGTTCTTTAAAACGCTTTAATGACGCTTTAAAATCAGTTTGCGTACTTTTATTCAACATTGCCCTTCGAGGAATGAGCTTTAAGGTACGAAATCGATTTTCCGATGCCTCTCGTGGAAACCGCGTTGAATATACATGTTCACCGCTACGAACCGATCGACCTCATCCGCATTCTAATCAGACCTTACTTCACACGGCCAGAAACAGCTTGCTGAACTTTAACTCGTTATCCTCGTCGACCACAGAAATGTCCTGGTTGGTTTGGCACCGCCGACCGATTCAACCAAACTCGATCGAGAATGTTTTTGACGTTGAAACCAATTGGAAAAAAATAGCTCAAGTCGTACAGAGACTAACGACTACCAAATAAAAAGTGATCGGAAAACGATAGATACAAGCCGAACCGTGTAAATGCCATTCTTATTCGTGTACGTGACAATTTTTTGCATCACCATGTTATTCTCTCTCAACTTTTCTGCTGCACAATATAAGAGAATTAATACAAAGTATTTAGCAATTATACTCTTTCTTTGATATAAAGAATACGTTCTTATATTCTCTTTTATAAATCATCAATTATCTTTCATCATTATCGTTATTATTTACGTGAATGACGGTATAGTGGAGTCTTAATACTTCAATACATATTTCTCACACAGTAAAAAGCTACTGGTTATCGTTACTATCATTATTCGCGAAAATAGCGAAAAATGAAATTTTGTCGCTGGAAACCACATCCTTTCACGACGTAATATAAAAGTTATTGTTATTTTTAGTGTTATTACTATCATATTCGCGAGCACGCCGAGCGAATCTTGACGCGCGCGAGGGGATGCGACGCGACGATATGCGACGGATGTCTAGGTATTCTGTCCGACTAATCCTTATATGTGTAATTACGCTGTGACAGGTAATAAGCTCAGGCCGTTAATTTGTCAGACTTTGATGCGCGTCTCTATGAAATTAGCTGGAGATTGGGAGGCCGAGAGCAATTTTGGCTAGAGTGGAATTGTCTGCCGGCAGAGGCGAAGTCCTTTGGAATCTGGAACTATCCAGGATCAGCGGTAAATGCAACGGGGATGCTGGGTCGAAGTCCTCGAAGTGGCGAAAGGACGACAACGAGACGACGTCGTTAGTAGGGCGGGCTCTAGCTAAGCTACAAACGCAAAGCTATCCAGACACCGGAAATGGACGGCGCGGTACCGCCGGCTGATGCGCACGTACCCGTAACAGCCGTGCATTCGGTGTGCTCTTCCACCGGCGTTGGAAATCGGAATGAACGGTGTATCCTTAAGAAAATCGTAAAATTAAATGCAAACAGGGATGGGGAGAGGACCACGATAAAAAGGTTCGCCGCGTAGTTTATCAATTCGTGGATTACTTCGGGAAACGATTCGTTCGCCTTTTATATGCGCCGATCACTCTATTCAAGTAGGAAACACGCTAGAGCTGATTCGGCTAAATTAGAAAATTTTAATAAATAATTTAATAAATTATCTGTTATTAAATTAACCTACGCATTCTGACCAAACGTTATCTAATATATTTATAATACGATATATTTATAATACGTTTTCTAATGATATATTCACTTTTGTAGTATTGTGTAAAAAAAATTACGCGTTACTTTACTTCCATGCATATTCGATGGGCGGACTGTTATATACGTTACACACATATGGCGAATTTCTTGCATCATACTTTGCATGATAATATGTTTGCATTATGTAAGTGGTTTCTAAGATGATAATATCTATAATATGAAATAGGACTGAATAATGAAATTCTGGAAAGAAATATAATATAAAGTTTTGTGTAGAGAAACTTCTGGCTTTAATATAATAATATTGCAAAGTCTTGTTCGTTCAGCTTTAATATTTTCTTGCAAAATAGCAATATATGTATGCCGACTCTATAAAAATATATCTGATAAATTAACATTTTTTTTGTTTCTTAATATGTCGTTCTTGAAAAGAATTGACAAGTCTTTCTTGCAGAATTATTAAAATCAATTTTGTTAATTACATAATTTAATAGTTGTAATTTAAGAACGTGTATTTTCTCTCCTTTTCTTTCCAGGTGAATTACTCATAGTTAATTGAGATATAATCTTGTTTAACACAAATTTGATCTGAAGATGCCTATATATCTGGTTTTTTACAGCGAGAAAAAAAAAGATGCGATACGATGAAAATCTAATCGCAACGAGCCTCTCCGAATAGCGAGCGTGCCAAGGCGTGCTTTCCCCTCCTTCAATTTGCACCTAAGGTCCCGGTGTTCGTGAAATACCTCCCTTGAGGAATGCACTCCTCCGCTCTCAAGATTTTCTTCACATAAATAATTTTCAACTGGCATCTCATCCCTATTTTCGCTCTATCACTTCCAAGCTGAGCAAACAGTTTCCCGATTATGTAATGCACACGCCGTCGTACAACTGCTATAATAAATATAATTTAAAAACAGAAGGAGATTAGATTATTTCCGTTTTCATAAAAAAAAATAATTATATTATAAATCAATAATTATAAAACTATTTACAACTTTTTAAAATTTATATGTATATAATAGAGATATATACATATATGTATAAAATGCAAAAATCTTAAATTATTAAGAGATAACTCTAAAGTTATTTATACTTGTAATTTTTCAAGATATATATAATTTATAAAAAAATAAAAGCGCTTAAATGATAACTTATGTATGATTTAATGATAACTTAGGTATGATTTAATGACATCCAAGATATCATTTTCTACGAGAGATGTAAATATCACACCAGATTTAAGATTCACAAAAATCTCGATTTAAGAAAAATCGCGCGCAAATGTCATTCTTCTTTGTATTTGACAAGTATAAAATCCACTTTGCCGCATTTTACGGAAATAACTTGTTTGCCGGGTAAGTCGCTCGAAGGGATATCCCCTTCATGCAGTCGCGCGTCTGCAGCAACGACGGCAGACAGCGTCGACGAGTCGCGGTCATGCCGCTGTTTAGAAATTTAATGCAACCACCGCGCGTTTTCGGACGCGCTTTCGAAAGTAGTTCGCGATATCGTAAATCACAATCGCGTATATACCCGTCGAGGCCGGGCGAATTCTGGGTGGGCGCGGTAATGCATTCGTGTGCGTATTGCCTCGGCAACCCGGTAATGTATTCGCGAGGGTATAACGTATCGATGTCGAATCCTCCATCGAAAAATAACCACGTCGTAGATATGCATCGAGGGGGGAAATGCGAGAGGTGGGATGATGCGCGCGACGGAGGGAACGATCGGAGGATGAGCGACTACGAGCTCGAAAGTGGTATCGTGGTGAAGTCGCGAGCAAAAGGACGAACGGTTTGTACGCTTCTGTACGTCCGTGTGCAGCGATCTCCTCCGGCGTGTGCGTGAGGCAAAAGGGAAGACGACGAAAGCGAAAAAAGTCGTGCCCGGAGGGGGAGGATCTACGGAGGGAGCGAGCAAGTTTCTGTTTTTCGCGGAGACCGTGCTCGCGAACCGCGAAGAGACAAACGCGAGTGTTATTAGCCGAAATTCTTATGTACGCTGTTATCCGTTTTCTTATTGCATGCACGATATTGTCTCACGCAAAGAAATGGTGATTGCATACGCACATGCATAATTCATCTAGTTAAATACCCATTTAATTGGAGAAACAGAGATGAACGCGTTAACGTTTCAATGAAATATCTATTTAAATATTTACCGGGTGAAAATTTAGCGATTTTTGGCAAACATTATATATTTTCCACGCGAAGAATTATTATTATTACATAATGAAAAGTCCTATTAATATTAGATAATATGCCAACAAGATTCTTAATGGCTATGGATTAAATACAAGATGCTTAATACACCATACATTCATGTTTACAAATTCTATTATGATTGTAATTAAAACTTCTTGCATTCCTTTTATAAAGCTATTACAAGCGCTCCCTATCTCCCTGTATTTCCTTCTCCCATTTTCTTAACACAAGGCTAATAGTTTATTAAGAAATAAATTTAAACGCAATAGAGAAAATTACTTATCTCATTAATGATAAGCTTCTCTAGTTGCTACGAAATTTTCTCCAAAATAGCCGTAGTTAGTGCGCCATAACACCAATTCTATCCAATATAACGAGTAACTCAATACCGCTTAGTAAAATAAGCAAAAAGACTAGATTCTTTAAAGAAACTCAAGCCCGTTTTGTAAAATAAGCAAAATATAGTCAGATTCTTTAAATGGGTTCAAGCCCGCTTCGTAAAATATGCAAAATATGGCCAGATTTGTTAAAGAAGCTCAAGATTAACAACCATATCAAAATTATCGTTATCAATAATAGGAGTTAATGTATAGGTGCTGCAGGACTCCTAAAAGCTAAAAAGAGTGTTATTCACGTAATCATGTATATTTCTGATCCAAGGATCAAGTAATCGATCAGGAGAAAGCTCAGTCATATATACACACGAAAGAAGAGTGGATAAATTTTTGTTATTTCGCTGAAACGCGCTGATAAAAGAGTGAGGGAAAAGAGGAAGGGAGGAGAAAAGATGCGAGAAGTAAAAGAATAAACGAGTGGATGGAGGGGAAGGGGCGGAGGGGTCTCATCGTGAATCCCAACGGGAACGGACATTCTTGAATATTCGTAGACGGAAAATGCATTCCGTGCAAGTTCATACGCGCACCACACACCGTATGCGTATATATAGTATGCGCGCGAGCGCGTATACTATATATACGCGTATATATCTAGCAGCGTTTCGGAAAAGGGACAGCCCGCGCGGCTGTTTAAATTACTAAACTTTAAACTTTCACTCACGTATGCAAACTAATGCAAACTGGAGGCTTGTGGAAGGAACTGCAAACAGCTCGCTCGGGACTCTCCGCTACCATCCGCGCTCCCAGAACGGGTTCTCCATTCGACACCCTCCAACCTCCGCCGACCGACTTCTCACTCCCCCTCTTTCTGTCTCTCTCTCTCTCTCTCTCTCTCTCTCTCTCTGTCTCTTCCTCTTTGTCTCCGTTCTTCTCTTTCTCTCGTCTAAATGCCCCCGCTTTTCCCCAGCGTGTACCATCCTCTCGTTCTCCGTCGCCGCACATTTCGCGGCTTCGCTATCTATATATCGGGTATCCTAATTTTCATGCTGGCGCGCAGTGGTGGCGGCCACCACCCCCCGTCCATCGCTTTATCCTTGCGAGTGTTTTCGCTTAACCGAATGAAGACCAAGTAAAGCATGTCATTAAAAGCGCGAGGTGGTATTCATTCATTCCTGCGACCAGACGGTGCGGCGGCGGCCGGCGGTTAGGCAAGTTCAACACACTCCTCTCTCTCTCTCTCTCTCTCAGGCTTTGTTGTAGACAAAACGATTTGCTGGCGTTGCTGAGCGCTCGTTCCTAACATCATTAGGCTTTGCGGTGGATACGTGCGTTTAAGTTAGACGCATTCCCGAGGCGGAGAGGCAAAAAACGAACGGAGAAGGATAAAAAGAAGAACGGAGGAGCTTTTACGCGATGACCATTAAGCCCGGGATATTCGATGACATGACAAATATTTCACTGATCACGGATAATGGGTAAATTTTGAAATCGGACAGTCGCGCATCATTATCAATTTTTCCGATATTAATCACGGCGCGCAATTTGTTAATGAATTTAATGAACGAATCAGAGTCGTTTTGCGAGATACATTGACGAGCAGTGTCCGCTGCGGCTGATGCAATTGCGGACAGTATAATGCATCGAAAATTTTGCATAATGCATAACATGAAAATGGTACGCGCCGTTACTCTGCTGAACCCGCATGTCATAATGCGCACTTTGTTAAATCTCCCGTTAAATGTAGGATATTTTATTCTGTATAACTGTCAGAAGCTTTTAAAAAGAAATCTGTCGCGAAAGTTTACATACCTATGTACTTATTCAATGTTTATTTAGCTTTCACAACATAATTAATTCAATTGTAAATATCTATGTTATCTCAGTTAATTAATTATGAATGAAATGTGCGGCGCAGGCTTGAGCGCTTATTATGTAATCGTATTAATCTCTTTGAAATCTCATATGACTCAAAAATATTCTTTAAATTTATTAAATAATTATAAAGTAAAATGTTTATTTTTTAAATTTATAATGTTCGACAACGTAAATATGTCTTGGAGCATCTTAGCCATAATTTTTATATAATGTATTAATATTTTAAGTTATATTTCTTTTATTTATTTAAATAATTTATTTCCCTTTTCCAAAATTTTTATTCGCTTTCCTCTGACAAAGTTAACTCCTTAACTTGCAGTTAGTTCTCTAGCATTCCTAACGCTTGAGACAACCTAACCAATTATATTAATCGAATTTTCTCGCTGATCGCGAATTGCGCTTCGATTCGGAAGGAAGCTCGCGTCAGTCGAGCTGTAAGTCAGCATGTCCCGTAACTTGTAAGTTAATCGGCAAACCGCGGA